AACATTTGATCACTAATAAACATATGAATAAGAACATTCATACAAAACTGAAAGTGGGAAGCAGATAGATTAGAAAAGATTTAGACATGAGCAGTGCCTTGAGTGAATTTTGGATCCTCACATCTATACCTTCCATCTGGTCCAATTCCAAAACCTTTTGGATCAGCAAACACATTCTCTAGAAGCTGGCTACGGGGTGGATGAGGGCTCTTATCTGCAAACTCAACAGCATCCTCAAGGACCTCATCGATTTTCTTCTCTATGCTCTTCAATTCCTGTTCACTGGCTAACTTGTTCTCAATTATGTATTGCTTCAATGCAGTGACGGGATCCCTACCAGCATAGTGTTCCTTCTCAGCTGCCAAAGCACAAACAGATTATGATTAACAATTATTATGAACATTAAACACAAGACTTTATGAAAACTATAACATTATGTGGCTTATTTCATCGTGAAATAAAAATTTACTGGCTTCTTGAAATTAGTAACACTGGTTATGTAGATACTAGTTATACATAAGTAGAAAACATAGAGTTTTATTAATTTAGGAGGACATCTTAAAAGGGTATGCCATGCTAGATGTATTAGGCAACGCAAAAACTAAGCAACTAAAACCTTCAGAGTGTAATTTGAATTACATAGTAAAAGTAACTAATTAAAGAGGGCAAGCTTGGAGCACTGGTAAAATTGCTATTTTGTGACTGAAATATCATTGATTCGAATCCAAGAAATAGTCTTTTTGCAAATATGTTAAAGTAAGGTTGTGTACAAGAATTACCCTAATTTCTACCCTCGCTGGTCAGGGTTTAATGGGGAGTTGCTTTTTTAGTAAAAGTAACTAATTTCAAATTATTAACACATAAAAGGCAGAAGAAAACCCAGCAAAAACAACTGAAATCAAGCTAAGAATAAGCATTCGCTACTCTGCAGTCAACACCATGACATATGGAGTCAAATTACAACACAATCCAGTCTCTCGAACTAACCAGACTTGAGTACAATTTTTATATCCCCAGGTACCTGCAAACTGGATGGAGTGAGTACCCTTGGTTATAATTTATAAACCCATGTACCAAGGTTGATTGGTTTATTTCTAAAGTTTTTATTTTCCCTTTTCCAAATTACTTCTTAAGTGACGAACTAACCAAAACTTAATCTTCATAGTTTGGGGTAGGAAGCATAGATCCTCATAATAGATTGATTCAGCATTCACATAAATCCTTTAATCAAAACCATCTTAATTTATACTTAGTAACAGCAGTAATATCCTCTCAACTCTGCCTACCAATGGCTTTTAAAACTTCATTTTATTTTATTTTTTAATAAACATGTAGCTAAGGGATCAAAATGTATCATAAGCCTAAACACTTGTTTTCTTAAAATCATTCCAAATTTGTGGTTATTCACTAAAGTTTAAGAATTAGTTGCTAGGCTAGAGAACTCTTCACTTACTGATTAATTATAGTACCCTGATCCAATTGGATTTCTTTTTCCAATAAAGTTATACACATTTGCAAGACCCAATAACAAAGTGGTACCTCTTTTCTACCATTAACAACTTTAGAGTTTATGACTGCAAGTTCAACTCCATCAATTTATATTGCTAATCTATACAGAGCCAATGACTAAAAGCCTAAGAACCACCTTTTTGTTTTGTTCTTTCTTTTTTGGGGGGAAGGGGGGATGGCAAGTTGATTACAAATCACCTAATTAGATAAGCATAACAATTGGTCAAATTCGTAGGAAGCTAGTAAGTTAAGCAAACTATACAACAAAAGCAACTACCACGAGGTCACTGGTTCTAACACAGTTATGCATAGTGCAATTGAAAATAGATACCACCAGAAATGCAAAGAAACATCAACATACGTACTTAAAAATAATGGAAGAAGATATTATCTAAATAAAAGCTCACCAGGGTCACGAAGCTCATCAGGATCAGCCAATGAATGTCCTCTAAATCTATACGTCTCACATTCGACTAAAGTTGGTCCTTCTCCTCTTCTAGCCCTTCCAATTGCCTCCTTTGCGACCTCTCTGACCTTCAAAACGTCCATCCCATCCACATGAACTCCAGGCATTCCAAATGCTGGCCCTTTCTTCCATATCTGAGGATCTGAAGTTGCCCTGAGATGTGACATCCCAATAGCCCACAAATTGTTTTCCACCACAAACACAATTGGCAATTTCCACAAAGCTGCCATGTTTAGGCATTCAAAGAACTGCCCATTATTACAAGTCCCATCTCCAAAAAATGCCAGTGTCACTTGATCAGCATCTGCCTCATTCAATACCTCTCTTCTGTACTTACTAGAAAATGCTGCCCCAGTGGCCACTGGAATTCCTTCACCGATGAATGCAAACCCGCCAAGCACATTGTGCTCTTTTGAAAACATATGCATTGAACCGCCCTGACCTCGGCAGCATCCCGTCGCCTTCCCAAAGAGTTCACTCATCACAGCCCGAGAGGGGACCCCCTTACTCAGTGCATGAACATGGTCTCTATAGGTGCTCACTACATAATCTTCTTTCTTCAGAAGCTTGATGAATCCAGTTGACACAGCTTCTTGGCCATTGTACAAGTGAACAAAACCAAACATTTTCCCCCTATAATACATCTCAGCACACTTATCTTCAAAGGACCTCCCCAATACCATGTCTTCATAGAGCTCCAACCCTTCCTCTTTAGTAATAAGCTGCACGCACAAATCCAGATAAAAACTATAGCCTCAAAGAACATATTCCTAAACAAAAATTGCAAACTCAGATAGCACAAGACAAACTTTTTTCAATAACCTGAATTTCTAAAGCCAATTGGAACCCATAAAATCTATATCACCAGAGTAAACAATAACTCAGATAATAAGAAAAAAAAATTGACATTTGAATCATGCAGCTTATAAACCCAACTGGGTTCAATTCCAATGAGGTAAATTGAGTAGAAAGTTCAGTTTTTTAAGAAACCCATCACAGAGAATCAATAGCTATTCACAGAAAGCATAGATTTTTCATACGAAAAGGAACAAAGAAGGATTAAGGGTTACCAGATTGGAGGTTGGGTTGAGAAGAACAGCAACAACAGGGGATGATGATGAACGTCGTTGAGCGAGAGGCTTAGTTAAAGCATTGAAGCGAAGAAGCTTTTGAGTGGATCCAAGGAAAGAGGAAGAGGGGTTGGCTCTGGAGAGATCAAAGGAGAAAGAGAGAGGCTTTTCATTGGATCTGGGTGTATTGGAACTGATAGAAAGAGGAGGGTGTGCAAACTTGGTTGCAGTGAAAGACATTATTCTCGTTGCAACCAAAAAAAAAAAAACAAAAAGAAACTTAGTGTGTTTAATGTTATATTGTGAAGTGAGACATAAAAGTAAGAAGAACTTAAAATGGGGTGTTATATAAGTAGACAGAAACAAGACAATTAAGGGGACGGAGGAAACGAGGGAGTGTAACTTGGAGATTATCGTCTTCGACTTTGGGTGGATTTTGCTGTGACTGTGGCCATATCATTTGATACAAACCAACAAATAATTAAGAGGAGAGAAGACGGTGCCACCAAAATCCAACCAACTTTTCCTACATTAACATTCACATATTTAAACCATTATATATATATATATATATATATTAATATATATATATATATATAATATATATATATATATATATATATATATATGAGGAATATTCTCACTACCAAAATTTTCCACTACTAACTTACTATCTATCTAATCATCATTGGATTAATATTTTTTCTCTTTTTAAAAACTTTTTAGCATTCTTTCTCTTTTATCCAATGGTAAATAGAAAGGTAGTGAGTTGGTAGTAGAAAATTTTGGTAGTGAGAATCTATGTAGCACCGATACCGACACGAGACACTCCGACACGTTAATTCGAAAAAATGCGAGATTTCGACACGTTAGGACACGTTTTGATATTAAATATTATTTTTAATTTATGTAATGTATATTATATTTAATACTCAATAATTTAACAAAAAAATAAAATTAAACTTATAATACCCATCAATTTTCAAAGAAACATAAAATATCCCAAATATTTATATTAAACTCAATAAAATAGTAATCGTAATCCAACGAATCAAATAATTGGAACTAAAAACGCAACGCAACACAACCTTTGAACTTTGTTTTGAGTCTCTACAACGCATGTCGGAGAGTGTCGGAGTGTCGGACATGACACGTCAAAGCTTTTGAAGTGTCGGTGCTTCATAGGTGAGAATATCCTCCCTTATATATATATATATATATATATATATATATATATATATATATATATATATATATATATATAGGGAGGATATAGTTACTATCTCTTTTTTCTTACTACATCTTACTACTAAATCTTAACCGTTAATTTTCATCAATCTAACGATTGTAATTTATTGGGTCATACTTATTAATTAATTATTAATTTTCATTAAATTATAATCGTTAGATTGACGAAAATCAACAGTTAAAATTTAGTAATAAGAAGTAATAACTATAACCTCCCCATATATATGTGTGTGTGTATATATATATATATATATATATATATATATATATATATATATATATAGATATAGGTAGGATCCTTTGACACCGGTGTCAAATCTCAAATTTGACACCTCATCTCAGAGTCGTTAAATCAAAAAAGATCAATGGTGTCACATGCTTAAAAATCAGAGTCGTTGATCTTTTTTGATCTAACGGCTCTGAGATGAGTTGTCAAATTTGATATTTGACACCGGTGTCAAAGGATCCTACCTCATATATATATATATATATATATATATATATATGAAATTTGATTTTCTCATGTTGCATGAGAATTGAATTATCATGTTGTGACTCAACTAGTGGTGAACCCCACATTTATTAAAAATGAAAAAGAAAAGAAAAGTTTTGCATGCAAAACGAAGGATCACAACATGAGAATTGAATTCTCATGCAACATGAAAAAATGTTTTTCCATATATATATAGGATTTATTTTTTCTGCAGTTGCTGCAGATAAATTATCTGCAGTAAGCCCAATACGACATCGTTTTGGGGCAGAAATTATGGTGTTTTTGTAATTTTAATTTATTTCAGGGTTATAATAGTCCTTATATTTATAATTTTTTAAGATTTCAATACCAAAACGACGTTGTTTTGGGAATAAATGCAGATAACTTATCTGTATTAACTGCAGAAATATTTTTTTCCATATATATATATATATATATATATAATGAATAAGGGGAAAATGTGTATCATTTTAAAGGATGTAAAGTTATGTCATTTTAAGTGAGACAAAGAGATAGATAAAGGAGGAGAGAGAGTGGATAAAAAAATATAAAGGTGTGGGTCCTACCTCCTTGTGAGAGTGAAATGATATAAGTTGTGTCAATTAAAAGGACAAATATTTTTCCCATTGAATAAACTAGCCATTCTTGTCTAAAGATACATTTTCGATTAATTTTAGTTTTTTTTAACACCATAATAGTTTTATCAGAGATCCAAAAAGTAACATCAAATTCATCTAATTTAATGTTACAAAAAGTTCAAGCGACACCTTAAATTCTTTTTTAAACTGACTTAATTTTACAAATTTTCAAAGGACCATGGTGTATATTTGAAAAGTTAAAATGATAGGTTGGTGATAAATATAAATTACAAAAAGGCCATGATTCTTACACTTGCACAATATGCATTCCGACAAGGGGAACAAGCAAAAAAAAAAAAGTTGAGTATAATTGATTTCTTATGCAACACTATAGTATCTTTTGTCATTTTGTCAAGTAGGAAAGGACTTGGATATTTGTGTATAAATTCTCTTATTATTACATCACGCCTCCAAACAATGTGGAGCAAATTTGAAGCAAGCTAGTTATTCTTGGGTTAGGGTATGGATCTTGCTCTGTGTGAGATGGTTATATTTCACAAGGGCTAAGTAATGAGTACACTTAAAAGTTGACTGCTTGGTTTTGCTACAACAATATTTATTGGAGATTCCAATGGGTTGGTGTGAATGATGTGTTTGTGAAAATAAGGATTGAGACTTTGGCTATGATAGAATTTCAAATTGAAGAACATCACAGTTGAATGGAATGATCATGTGAGCCTCGTTACCTGCCGACATGTCACTGCATGTGGATAAGTTCCAAGTCCTTTTCATCCCCTCAAATGTGTCCCTCCTCAATAAATTTTTATGAGTATCATTTATATCTATAAATTTATTAACAAATGGGTCCATAGCTCAGTGGTAGAGCATTTGACTGCAGATCAAGAGGTCACCGGTTCGAACCCGGTTGGGCCCTCTCTTATTTTTATATTTACGTTTTTTGCATTCAATAACTATAACGTAAAGATAAAAAAAAAGTTTTTTTTTTTTTGGCATTCAATAATTACGAATGTATAGACAAAAAAAGGTAAGTTAAAAAGAATATTTTTCCTATGTTGTTTAATTTTATCTTTTATTTTTGGGTAAACAAAAGGCCTAAGACATTAAATAAATAAAGTACACAAAAAGAAACCTAACTATTGCAACTCAAACACGAGGTTTCTCAAAACACAGATCACCAAGCAACAATAATTGGATGTCAAGAGAGGTTCCTACCATACAAGATAGCCTTCCTACCCCTCATAGTTTAATATGAAATTCGTCAGTGAATCTGCACACGAGTTATCTTCCTCAGAGTATTCTTGAAAATCACAGACCAGTTTTTATCAATTCATGTCTTTATGTGAGAAATCAAATGATTCTCACTAACTGCTGCATCATTTCTAGTGAGCACAGTGATCACACTTGTTGAATTACTTTCAATAATGATGTTACGGTGTCCAGCATTTCAAGCCATCTCCAACCCTCTAAGGACTCGCCATAATTCTGCTTTGAATGAAGTACATCTTCCTAATTTATACGCAAAGCCACCAAGCACTCATCAAGAATGACACCCCCCACAAGCAGCTGCACCAAGATTACCATTCGCAGCCCTATCCGTGTTAACCTTGACAGCACCCGAATTCAGAAACTGCCAAGATATGTCCGCTACCATTCTTCCATCAGAAGCCAGATTTATATATTTGTTTTTTGTTTGGAGCCTCTTTCACATTCTTTGCAAGATTTTGGATTAGTGCAACTTCAAATTTTGTTTTTTATTTTCACTAGTTTAGTGCAACTTCAAATTTAATTTCCAACAAAATATAACTTGTATAAAATCGTAGACACTAATCATGACTTATAAAACTGATTTAACTTTTTATTATTTTTTAAAATCATATGCATATAACACGACTTAATAACTTTAATGATAGAAATCGTAAATGATAATCACATCTTACATTGATCATCACCAAACCAATAATAATTAAAAGCACTACTGAAGCAATTTGTTGTCTATAACAGTGTTTAGAAACTTGGCCTGACTATCGATTCAACCGAGGTCAGGGATCATGGGTTCTCAATCGAGGAGTTATTCGGTCACTTTGCTGACCCGATTTTATACATTAAAAAATATTAATATATATCATATATGAAAAATTCAAACCACCAATCGTTAAAGATTCAAAATTTACTTAACATAATTCAACTAATTACATTCACAAGTCAACATTATACAAGTTAATGAAAATATCAAACTATCAAAGTATAAAATACATATTTCAATGGAGTTAATGAAAAGTTATATCATCTAACTCAAGCCCTCCTTGTCCTTCTCACGTACCTACAACAGCATGTGAAAAGAAATCTCTTACACAAAGAGAATGGCAAAGGAGAAGTGGTGGCACGATAAATTAACAGTGGTGAGAGAAGAACCAACAAGACAGAGGAGAGGGAGATAGAAGACCGAAAAGAATAGGAGGAACCACCATAATGGGTGAGGAGATCACCGGATCAGGAAGACTAGGTCTGGAAGAGAAAATCACAGGAGAAGAAGAAGATGAACGATTCAGATTTCAGATCTAGTTCTAGATCTAGGCAGCAACAAATTTTTGTTTTTTTGTTTTTACACCAAACGATGTCTTTTCTTGTGTAGATATTTTTTTTTAAAAAAATATAGTGATTCCCTCTGACCCGTGAGTCAGGGTTCAACTGGAGATTTCGAAGGTTAAAGGAGTCAACATGCATATAGGGTCTAACTGCTGACCCTAATCCTCATAGAGAAGGGGTCAGTGACCCGACGGGGTCGGTCCCAGGACGGGACGAGATTTTGAAACACTAGTCTATAACCACGGTTTTCATTATAATTCAAGCCACATGCAATTCATAATTAACTTCTTTTTTTCATAAAGATTTTGTCGATATGTGCCGCAACTTACAAGTTGTGAACTTAACATATAACTTGTCTTGTATAATGACGAAAAAAATATATTACCAACTTGTGTCTCATACATATAATCTCATATAAGTAATATTTTTTTAAAAAAAAAAAAACTTGTATATAAGTCATAAGTGCTACGTACAACTTTCCTAAAATGTTGATAAAAACAAGCCTGACTCATTGTTACAAAGGTTTTAAAAACTATATTACAGCAAAAAAAAAAAAAACCAATAAAAAACACCACACAAGTTAAAAAGACTTATAAAGGGCAATGTTAAATATAAAACAACACAAAATATACTTTCTTCACAATATTTCATCGTTTACTAGTACTATTCACTTTCCAGTGAAAATATTATGTATGACTAAGAAGAGTGTTTGAGAACGTTTTATTTTTGTAAGTAAAACTCAGATACAATCATCAGCCTATGAACATATAAATTGGTACATTTACCCCAACATTAAAAGAATTGCATAATGCGGGTAAGAAAAAGGGATAAAGCTTTTGTTCGGAAACAAAATAAGAGACAAAAAATGGATGGAAAGGGCTAAAAAGGAGAGAGAAAGAAAGAAAAGAGGCATAATATCTCATCACATTATTTGAATATCCTAAACTCACTAAAATGGCTTTTCTATTTTACACAAATTAAAACCTAATATAGATACAACAGTTATTAACATGAACGTAGATTAAGATACAAAAGAATAATAATGGATTGAGAAATACATCAAATATCGTAGCTATACAGAAAACCTAAGAGGGAAGATATCTGCTGTTAGCCTTTACAGTTGTTAGTGCTTAATCTCTCTGCCTTCAGTGTTCTCTTTGTTCTTATATAACAGTTAGTCACAACTTATTTTTCTTCTCCTTGCCTGCAGTTAAGTTTCCTGTGTGTCAGAATTCAACACTATTAAAGACAACCATAACATATATTAAAAAACATTACTCACCAAATATACTTGATTTTAAAGGAAATCGTATTGATGAACCCTTAACTCTCAGCTCCCGGTTTTGCTTGTTTCTACTATGTTTTTCTGTAACTGCAGAACTATTGCTACTTTCCCCAGCCACAAACTCTGTCACTTTACTTACCTTCTCATGGTACACAGCAGGTGGGGCAAGCCTCAACTGAGGCAAGTTATCTATTTGCAGAAATCTCTGATTTTTCTGCAAGCTGTTCAAGATCTCAAACTGCAGAAGCAAGACCAATATTAAATGTCAGGAAAGTCGGGACAAGGCCGTTAAATTGAAAAGATGACATAGAGGTTTGTTTATATTATTTACCCGGGATATCTGTTGCTGTCCGTATACATTCTCTGACAAATCACTGTCATGTGGATGAATAGTACTTCCATGAGGGTATTGGCGTCTTGATGAGAATTTATTGATCAAGCCATTCTCTGCAATGACTGATTTGTTTCTAAACTGCTGGCGTTTCTGGTTAGGCATACATACAGGGCATCCAGATGAAGATCCTTTGCTTGATGACTCATTTTCCAAAACTTCACATTGGAGATGAATTGCATGGCCACAGTTGAAAATTCGAATTCCAGAGCTAACATAGTTCTTTGTAAGGAGGCTATTACAAATACAGCAGACTAGACTCCTGGGAGCATATCCATGAGAGGCCCCTTTCTTGAGTAAACTCATGGTATAAAACGTATCATCCTCTATCAAGGATTTGGCAGCATCCTAAGTGCAGAAGGAGCAGCAAGAGAAGAGAATCAGGACAAAACACAAAACCCCTTGAAAATAAAAGGAAGAAATTCAAATTATCTGTTACTGTAAGATTTTGAAAGAAGAGACTGTAATTTGTCCATGAAAAACCTTGATACTCATTCTTTTTGAAAATGCCACTAAGTTTACATATATCTAGAGTTAACAAGATGAATGTAAGAAATAAAATCCCCCAATCCACTATTTTATTTGTGGCATTCTTCAGACCTGTACAATATAAAACTCATATAAAAGTGCAAGTTTACAACAATATCTTAACTCCCAAAGAATTGCCAACAAATACATAAGAATATATAGTATAAAAATTTAGATTTGAACACATCTTGTCATGTTTCTTCCAGCAGATTCAGACAAGATTCTATTTAAAGAATCAATTGGTCAATTTTAACTGGAAATGTATGAAGAATAATATGCTTTGTAAAGCTTGATTAGAAAATCAAATTTAAAATATTAAAAAATAAAATTAACAAGTTAACCTTACCAGAATTCTTCTTTCAAAGCCATATGTTCCCAGCATACCCAATATAGTAAGTTTAAAGTCTCCGAATTCTTGACTACCATTATCAGACAGGAGTTTGGACATGATAGTTGGAAGGTGAACAAAACCTATCATTCCTTCGACAATCTCTTTAATGAACTGGGATAGCAATTTTCTCAAAATATGACCATTTCGGGACTTAGACATTTTCCAACTGCTTTTATTGGTGTCTTTGTCCAATTGTGAATCTGCTGATCCAGATAGCATTCCAAGATATTTTTTTCTTTCATATGCTCTCTTTTCAACGTATGAATCCATCAATGGGTCACAAAACCTGAATGAAAATCAAAGGGTAGTTACTATTGAAAGAGCTCCCAACTGTCAGGGACTAAAATTTAGAAAAGCTTGTTGTTCAGACATTTGGTTCATTGATTATTATATTCAAACTTCATAGAATTCTGTAAGTCACTTTCGTCTCCATTAAATTATACTTCCAAGTTCACTATTACAAATAGTTGGAACTCCATAGTCCAAAAGTCTTTTTGTTTTCCCCTTTTTACATGAAAAGTCACAGCTTTACTTTCGCCAAAATAATTATAAAATCACTGCTATTCTTTTCTTTTATTTTGGGAAAAACCACTAGGTGTCCGGACAACCTCTGCTTGGGTGTAGAATCAGTACTATACTCTAAAATGCAAGAAATGAGGTCTAAAAAAAAAAACCGTCATTTCATTGCTAGACCACATTCATGTGAAAATAATAAATTTCAATTTCACCTTACCCTCTATATTGAGATTAAAAGTCACTTAAAGTGATTAGTGATTATTCAGAGCAACAGAAAAATCATCCCTGTAAATTATCTAAATATTACCCGTTATCTTGAATACCTCAATGTTACTGATACCATTTCATTTCTGTACATTAAAAATGCCATACAACGGCCATGTAAGTTATGATGGTACAAGACACTTCAATTGGACATGTTTCCAGCACTGCTCAGTGCCAACCAATGCCCTTAGGATCCAGTGCTAGATGAAGAGTGTACCCTAGACTACATCAATCAGGAATACCTTGGAACCATGACTTCATCCCCTCAAACCAATAACTTGACCTTTTTTACTTAAGGTTCCTGCTTTCTAATTTTCACAGGACAACAAACAGCAACTTGAACCTGTATCTTCCTTATAATCTTAGCATGGATATTATGAATTATATACCATACAAGAACATTTGTAACATCATGATTATTAGGAGAAAAAAGTTCATGTAAATAAGCTACAAATAAATCAATAAATAAAACACATGAAAGGAAATGTATGCTGATATTAAACTTACGAGTCAAGTAATTTAAACCAATGTGCCTCTGACTCCTCAGGATTTAGACGACGGGTGTTCCGCTGACACAGACCAATACAGGCATGCAATAAATTGTGTATGTCATTCACCTATTGGATAAGTAACCACTAAAAATATTAGGTTACTTAATACATCAAACACACAAGCACACCCATCAAAGCATACTTGCATCTTAAGAGCTTCATTAAAATGATACAATTCCAGGAACAGATATACAAACCTCCTTTGTTCTTAAAACGGTGTTGAATACTTCCATATGGGAAGAACCACCTGAGCAATGGTTTGAAACTACAGCTTCCACAGCAGCATCAAGCTCAACAAACTTATCATTCAGATTAGAAAGTGTAAGTAAAAGAGCACTACCAACATCACCAACCCTTTCTAATAAGAATGCAGCAGCATCTATAATGCCATATTTTTGGCACAAGCGTAAACAATGTTCCACGCGATAGTTATCACACATTTCCAGAAACTTGAGAACTGAACCACCTTCGTACTGGCATAATAACTGCAAAATAAAAACATGAAAAAATAAAACTAAAAATTTATTGCTACAACTACAGCAACAAATTCCTTGACTAAAAACTTAATTTTACCAGAAGTGAGAGCAAAAAGAAGCCTAAATACATAAAAAATATATGTGAAATAAGGTCTCTATATCCAACCCCAATCCTCAGGGGACAAGAATATTTAAGATTGTGTTTGATGCATATTGAGGGACAAGACAAACAGAACCTAGCAGCACAAGTGGTTGAGTCATAGATCAATCTTTTTTGTTAGCTATTTGATGACCAATGAATGGGACTCATAATTTGTGATATTCATGGATAGAATAATGCAAAATTTATTATAATACCTTTTGTATTATGCATTGTTTTGCATGCAACAGGGGTGGGATAATGAAGGGGTAGGGGTTATTGGTCTTTTTCTCATTTGTGTTGTGGACTGGACTTTGTAACCTAATTTAGTGGATAACAAAAATTTAGATACCGGTGTTGTCCCTTGAATTGCTGTTTGTCCAACATAATTTGAACAATCAAAGAAAGCACAATTTTTTTACTGTGTTATCTCTTATTTTTTTTAGCAAATGAAATGCACCCTAAAAGAGATATAAAGCAGTAAACACATAAACTGGCGCATGATACATCCCAAGAACACATAAAAACACTAAGCCTTAACAATCAAGTTACTTCTAGATGGCAAAAAGAATAAAATTAAAAATCAAATTAATCTTGTCCAAGAAAAAAAATTGGTACAAAAACTCACCTCTACATAAAGCTCAATAATATCATCAGGTACGTGAATAGGATTTTCACGCATGTACTTAGGGAAATTAGATATATTCTCTAAGTAATCACTGACTCCATGTGGGTGATCCTTAACCTGCTTTCCATTAGGGGGATTCATAATATCATCTTTTCTCAAATTAGATAAGTCTAGGGTGCCAAATAAGTGAAGCTCAACGAGCGTCTTTAAATAAAGGAAAAGACTTTTTGGATGAGAGTGAAGTTCAGTGATTATATGGGAACTTTCATCACTGAAATGAGTGATAACCATATGGAATGCACCTTCCCTACAAGCAATTAGAAAGGAGTAAATCTATTTAGGTCACACAGATTGCAATTAAGAAACCATAAATGCTGTATAACCCGCCAAAAGAATCCAACTTTAGTAAAGCTAATAAGGAGGATTACCTGCTTAGTTCAACCAACTCAGGAATTCGAGATATGACTGCTGATCGAATAGCAGCATGGTCATTGTCAGTCAACTGTGAGAATGCTTTGTTGATAAAGGAGAAGGCATGAACAGGCTCATCTACATCTTTCCTATAACTATCCAATGCAGACACATACTCATGTCTGATTGTATGAATCAATCCACAAACCTAAAACCCAACAAAAGAGCAGGTAAAATCACTTAACCAGATAAAAGTCAATATTTAGTACTACTATGGTTCTGATGACAGTATCATAAAAATGGACAATGTACCTACCTGATGATATTTGGCTCTCTCACATAGGTCTAGCACAAATGACGCATCCCAGTCTGACTCAGGCAGTACTTTCAGAAGTGCAAGCACTTGCTTCTCTCTATTTTTTGGAGTTGAACTATGAACAGAAACATTAGTTGAAAAGTAACTATCCGATGTCAAATATTCCAATATTTGACACAGCACATCCTTTGAAACTCTAGCTCTTTGGAGAGCAACATAATATGCAATGAACTCAAACAGATAACCTATGTCCTTTGAAGGCCACTCTTTTATCAACCCACCATCACCACTATTTGAGGTTGTATCTGTTGGAAAAACATTCATATCAATTATTTGAACGAGAACATCTACTGTATTCTGAACCAAGGCACTTTGAGTTTCAGTATCATTATTATTTTCTTTTTTTGCTTCCACAATAGATTTATTGGCTGAATTCAGCAAGGATGAGCAGGCATTTGAAATTTCATCTTCCACAAAAGCGCATCTGAGGACATCTAATGTAGCTTCAGTGTCTAACTCTAAGAGATGATATAGATTCAGGTAGGGTCGTCTGGGCACAAAGTCTGAAACTGTCTGTGATTTCAGAGTATTAGAATCCTCTAACAAAAACTCTACAAGTTCTTTTCTAAGAGATGGCAAGCGTTGAGGAGGAATAGTTCCCCGACCTACAATTATATGCAACAGATGGATCATCTTTAAGTACTATTATTGCAATATTTTAAAGTGGAAAATAAAATAAAATAAAGTTAAAAGAACATGAAAAAAATTACCTGGTGGAAAGGCAAAACCTGTAAAGCAGTATTTGAGATAAACCAGCATTCTATACCTGTTAAAAGGAGATGCAAATAAGAAAAAATACAGATTTAACCATTTACAATTTTCACTGAGAAGAAATGCAGTGAATAAACTGCTGTCGGTTTACTTGTACAAACTTGAGAGAATGCCATTGAATAATTGTAACCCATCTCCAATTCAATTTCTTATTTGAAAAAATGTCTAAAATTTTATTATGAAGGTCAAAACTGGGTTAAAATAAGGTCATAGCTCGAAAGTGTCACTCAGGCATATTTTCAATATGATCTTTCTTCTTTTTTTATTGGCAGCCAATGAATAACAAATAGTTAATTTTATTTTATTTTTTGTTTTTTTTTTGTTTTGTTGTTTTTTTTTTTTTTTTGGTGGGGGGGGGGGGGGGGGGGGGGGGGGGGGGGGGGGGAGGAGGTTTGTTGGAAGTAGGAAATTTTTTAGAGAAAATCCCCATCGTTAATTAGCACTGCCACCACCTTAGTTTTTACCACACTTATTAATTATTATAGTTACATTTCTCAAAAAGAAAAAAGATTTATATTTTTAAGTTTTATTCATAAGTATACAAACAAAATCCAAAAAATTCACAAACCCATAAATTGGTATTCTCCAATGACTTGTCATACATGGATATAGAGAAAGAAAAACAAGAATAATAGATCAAAAAGGAGAAAGGCAACATACCCAAGAGCAGCAGCACTTTCCTTTTGGCTATTTTGTAAGACTGCAAACAGCTCCTCCAGAGGTGTCCTAAAATCATCTAATCCTTTATTAAAGAGATACACCAGGGCACTATATAGTCCATGCTCCCGGCATAATCTGACAACCTAAGAAATGTATCAAATATAACCATTTGCCAGATAGGCCAATAAAAAAATGAATGACAAAGATAAATATTTTAAAAAATCTAAAAGAACCTGATTAAAATCCAAGGATGAAATATCCATGTGAAGTACACATTGCTCAACCCGCTGTAACCACCCTTTGCTGCTATAATACTCTACCAGTTCTTGCATAATCTTGAGAAAATAGGACAAAACATAAAGAAGAAGAAAGATATTATAGCAACTGAGAATATATATTTAAAAACAAAAAAGTTAATATTGATAACATATCATCCAACTAGGCCAAAAAGCCTGACATGATCCAATACCTCGGGAGGTAGAGATCCAAGCATGTCCTTCAAAATATATGGCTCCAAAAGCTCCAAAAATGTTTCTGCAAAAAAATTTATAGTATTTACACCGTTATCCATTCAAAGTTGGAAAAGGGAAGACTACTAATGTGAGAGCATATCCGTAAACTTCATATTTCGTAGTTCATTCGTCAACTCAATAACTTAATTGTGAAAATTACCTTCAGTACAGATTCATTTAACTAATGCAACCATGCATCGATGAAAAGTAAAAGCTTTTAACTGGACCTTCAATTTTCTTTATGCCATTCTTAATAGTCTTTCTATGCTACTGAATATTGGGCACTTGGTCACTAAAGTGCAAACAATAGCATAAGGTCAATGTTGCAGAGATGAGAATTCATTAAATAAGATCAGGAATAAATCTCTTAGAGAAAGAAAGTAGGAATGAGACCAATAAGACCAATAAAAGCCCCAATAAAAAAAAAGTTAATCAGATGCAGGATAACCCAATAGTTAGAGGCAGCCCAATACCAAAAAAACAACTCTAAGTGAAACCTGTTAGAGAAGCATATAAACCATTGATGGGCCTTCACCTAACAGTTTAAGCTTTTGGGTTGAATTGGTTCTTTACAAAACCGTTAAAAAGGACTTAGATCCATAGTTGCCAATCTGGGATAGCACGGAGCAACTGATCCCAAAAAAGCTATAGTGAAATGGTTTCTAAGCCAAAGATTATGCATTCAAGATTAATAGTTTATACGACAGTGAAAATTGATAAAGACATTGATAGTGACATTGAAAAGACACACAATCACCATAAATTTAAGGCAAAAGGAACAAGTCAATAACATAGGGCTGTGAATGTAAATTGCATAATGCAGAGGATAAAAAGAGTGATGGAGGACAGAACATAGGAGGTCACAGACCTGCAAAAACAGACGGCTGTGAAGTGTAAATTACACAACACAATCAACATCAACAATACCTTTATCTCAAACTAGTTGGGGTCGGTGGTTGATGAACCCAAAAAAAGTTACAAAAAGATTGAGAAAAATACACAATTGTAAGGAAAATAGAATAAAAATAAGGATATATAGGAGGACAGAAAAGAATAAGAATAAGGTAAGAAATAAAATAAATAAATAAAATAAAAATAAAATATTGGGAAAAAAGAAAAAGAAAACACATAAACAAATAGGGAAAAGAAAGAAGATTGAAAGGAAAAATGAAATAGAAGAAAAGAAGGAAAACGAAAGAGAGATGGGAGATAAAGAAGAAAAGGATAAAAAAGGGACAGCTAGGAACATAGGAATAAAAACGGGTCTAACATTAATCCCCTAAACCCTCAATTACACAACACAATACAAAAATAATAATAATAAAACAGAGGAAGTCAAGACCTGCAAAAACGATCAGAGGCAGGACAGCCGACAACAGATGGGGATGGATAACGTACAATGACGGACGGCAACAGATGGGAGGTGAAGGACAGGAGAGAGGAGATGACGAATTTCACGAATAAAGGGGAAGTGGAATGGGGAGAAGGCTCGGTGTGGAACCCTAAGAGGATTGGGGAACACACTACGGAATGACAAAAAACAAAAAAAAAACAAAAAACTGAAAAAACTAGGTATATCACACAGATGGGGGCAAGGTGCGGTTTTTACCCACCTGTGGAAGTAGCAGCCACAATTTGGAGCCACAACATCAAAACACGATGCAACAATTGGAACATTGCAGTCACACCGCGAACCAGCATGATCAACTACCCTGCTTAGATATAAATGGCCTCTCCGGAAAACTTGACTTTTGACAGAACACTGATGCCGTCATTTGATCATGTAACTGACCCTACCTATTGGGAAAAAGTTTTGTTGTTGTTGTTGTTGCTTTTTATTTTTAATATTCTTCCAAACACTGAAATACCCTCTGTTATAAATATCTTTTGCCAATAGATTAAAAAGAAAATAGTATTGATAGGATTAAATAGCTCATAATAGATTACAATACTCTTTGTATTACCAAAGGAAAAAGATTACACAGTGGAATGAAGATTTTTGTTGTTTATATGTTTGGAAAATTCAAAGAATTCATTTCAATCACATAGATAGAAAATTTAGTACACTCAGAAAGAATATAAGATGTATTATGATAACTCTTTTGTTTTAGGAAGTACAGAATGAATTTCTACTTACATTAATTTACAAAATGGATTAGTTTTTTTCTCCCTCGTCCTCTTAGAGTTAGCCCATGTCTATTTCAAAACTCATTATGTTATTAGACAATAATGCTGAGTTTCTGACCAAAAGAAATAATTGAGGATTGTGTCAGCAGGGATCAAAATACAAAGTGAAATGAAAAGAGAAGTCCTCGTAACAATATCCTACCACACAAGGCTAAGACAATGGGTTACCTCTCTGTTGAACATGAACATCGATGAACTTGGAGAAAATTTTGTCAAAAAGGATGTCTGTCTGTTTGATATGACAACAAAATTCAACAGCAACACCACCAACACGAGAGTATTGCTCCTTTATGTCAGAATGCACTGAATTGCTTCTACTATTTGAACCATTGGATTGATCCAGTTTTCCAATTTGGTTGCAGAATGCCACTGAAATATAGGAGAACACTTCATCAACATACGATATAAGCAACTCCACCAAGAAGGGCATTATGGCCTCATGTACGGCATCCAAGGTTCTAGGAAGGTCAACAACCCCATGAGCATGGCCATCATAGAGAGTCATTGCCATGTTCAAGGCACCCATCCAGTCACCTGCTTTCCGCAAAACCAAAATACGCTCTTTCCAAGGGAGAAGACGAGAAACAATAAGATGAGTTGGACCAAGTATATAAATAGAAGCTCCTCTTACGGCGACAGAGTTATGATAAGCTTTCTCAGGGTTTCCAAATATATTGATGAAGTGAGTATGATAAGAAACTAGATCATCTCCTCCAATACCATCTACAGCAAAACTAGTTTGGTGAATCACAGTTCCATCCTTGGCAAATAAACACAGTTGTCCAGTTGAAGTGAGAACTACCAGCATCTGAGCAAGTACAAAATCCTTTTACTACCCTTATTATTAAGAAGCAAAGAGATGCAACAAGAAGACTAAAAGGGAAGGAAACAGGACACAAAGAAGTGGCCAAACTTCTAGCTAATCTAGGTAGACAGAAGATGATTTAATACCTGATCATCCAACCATGCCAGACCTATAGCCGCAGTGTCAAGAGACCATTTTCCATATACTTTTAATTCTGACTTGACCAACTTTGCAACCTGAACTTTCCGTTCCCAAGCAATTGCAAGCAATGAAACTCTTTCAACAGCTTCTGCAGACATATTTTCTACAAGAGAGCAAGCATTATTTAGAAAGAAGTAAATGTGAATTATACGAAAATGAAACCATACCAGTAGAACTACATGTTGGTGCCATGTATTTCCATGCAGTATATGGCATGGAACCCTCCCGAATTCCATCTGGCCTAGAGAGTTTAGGATAGCCTTCCGGTTTAGAACTCAGCCGCACCTATAACAAAGATTTAGTATCTTCAATAAACAATGCATAAGAAGTCTCCACAAAGCTGAAGAAAAAATTACAGGATAAAAGGTACATGGAACCAGCACAAATATCTGAGTTTCATACCACAGAAGCAATTTGATGGGTGACAAATACAACCACACCTTCTTCAGCCGAAGAAGAGCCTTCATTGAAGAGTTTCCAACCTGCATCTCCCCCAGGCGAAGATTCATCCAAAAGGAGTGGTGAAGCTGATAGCACCAAGCCCGTTCTTTGCCCATCAAGAAGACACTAGGAAATTAATACCAAGTTCAACAAAAAAGAGGAACATGAGATAATTGGATATTGATGATTGAATTAACTCACAAGTCCCCTCCATAAAACAATGCTGAACTAATCTTTTGCGCATTAATGCAAAATATGACATACCTGAGTTTTGATGGAGAATATATTTATATTAATCACAGGGACCACTGAGATACTGTGTAAGAGAACCAGACCCTTACTATCACCAGTGACTGCTTTAAATTGACGAGTATTCTGAGGATCCTGACCTAGAAACAATGTATGTACAACTGGTGCTGTATGCTCTCCACTAATAACTTTAGCCACTGCACCTTTCTGTACATCCCAAAGAGTAACATGACCATCACCATAACCAGCTAAAAGAAAGTCTCCTTGCTGATTGAAGGACATGGATGTCACTGGAGCATGTAACCGATCACCAGCAAGCATCGACATCTAACAAGTAAATGGCATACGTTGATAAATGAAGCTACATCTGATACCAAAACTCAATCAAACAAATGCTTGAACTTATGAGGACCAGCATTAACAGTTTATATACGTGGACAAGTGATATTTCAAACAGCATCTTTATTCTACACTACTAATAATATGTTCAGGGGATTTTGAACAATTTTTTATGAGATCGTTATTTTCATTTGTTTTCATTCTTTTTTATCTGAAAAAAAAAATTGCATTGCTATATTGACTTTCTCATTCGTTATGTCAAGCAACTCAGATACTTTGGTTAAAAACTGATGGAATCTACTTCCAAGCAAATCTAACAGAATATTTAGGAAGTTAAAAGAAGGAAGAAAACATAATATTAAATTAATTGTGATTATTTTTCATATCACACTAGACATATTTACAGACAAAGATGAAAATTTTCATAATTCATTGAACACTGAATTTGAGCTAGTTTAAAAAGTTTGATTGAATCAGGAAACAACCTTTCCATCAGTGTTGTCTGCATGATAAATAGAATATTTACTGGGAACTACAACAATGAGTCCTTTCGCCATTCCTACTGCAATGTAATTAGCATGAACTGCCAAGACTTGAGCTGAACCATATTCGCGCCTGAATGTTTGGGATGAAATGGCCCTCGTGACAGCATTATCAGCATCAACATCAAAATATCCCAATGTTGTGGACCCTCTACGAACGCCCTCGAGCCTCATTGGCTGGGCAGCAGCACCCTCTTCCAAATGCAAACCAGTTGAAGCGTGCTTCTTCTCCAGTTCTTCAGCCAATTCAAGAGGCTTCCTTGAAGCCTCTAACTTTTTCTCTGCTCTCCTAGCAGCCCTTCTGCTTTCCAACTTCCCAAGTCTCTCTTCCACTAGCTCGCTAACATAAACATCACCTATTGAACTACTATCATCGCTGCCGCGGCAGCCACTGACATTGGCCTCATTCTTAATATCATCCATACAACTACCACCATTCACTAGTTCTTCCGTTTCCATATCTGTCAAAACATCCTCAGCAGTGATTCTCTTATCACCAACATCAACATAAGCAATACTAGTTTCTTCATTATCATCAAAAGTTGCAAAATTCACATTCTTCTCAGGATCATTATCATGATCATGATCATCTCCTTCCTCTCCATTTTCAACCTCATCCAAGGAAGGAGTAGCAGAACATTCATCCAAATCTCTCTTCTCCTCACTCACTAGAGAAGAATCATTATGCACCTGAATGTCAGCACCACCAGCCTTTGAATCATCCATTTGATTAGTTGCAATTTCTACATCACTCTCAGGAACAGAAACAACACTCTCAATAGTCTCAACTTTTCTCTGCACTTGATCGAAGTTATCAACAATGGAAGATTGAGAACCATTATCAAATTTCTCACCAAACTCACCACCCAATTCACCTTTTGAAGAAACATCAGAATCATCGCCGCCGCCACCAGTGACCGAACTCGATTCAGAACTTCCCGCAACTGCAACCTTCCTCCTGGACTTAATCGCCGCCGCATGCGGCGTCGGGACAGACCTAGAAGCGGCGACGGCGGCGGCAAGCGCCGCACCGGGCTTCGCATTCGACCTCACACCACTCAACAGAGACGAGAAAGGGCGCGAAACCCTGCTGCGAAACGGGTCATCGGGTGAATCAGCCGGTTTGACCCGAGAAAACGAACCGGGTCTGGGTGGAACTAACTTTTCTTCTAAGAGCGTGGGTTTATGGGGATTGGAATTGTAGTGAGTAAAAAGGGAATGAGAGGGTTGGGGTGAAGAAGGAGGAGAGGGTGATGATGACGATGTGTCACAGTCATTGAGAATCTCGTCGATGGTCCGGTGATGACCACCGTCGTCGTCGGTGGAGGTGGATGAATCGATGAAGGGGTGGAGGTCGAGCTCCATTGAAGTTGATTCACCGGTGATGTGTTCGAAGAAATAAATTTATTGACTGATTTGAAAATTTCGGCAAAATTAATAGGGTTTAATATTTCTACGTATATAAATTATCTACGTTAGCTCCCAAAATACGTTATTAAGTTGAAAAATTGAAAATTATGAGAAAGAATATTGTGACAAATCAAGTTGTGTTACTTCCAGCTGACTAGTAATCAATCTTACCGTTAGATCGATTATATTTGTCCAACGGTTTTATTTATTTCCATCTTTGTATGGTCATGATTCCCCATATTTAAAGTGAAAGCATTAAATATGAAAAATTATAACTATACAAAGGTGAATATAAATATAAATATTAAATTTGGGGAATCATGACCATACAAAGATAGAAATAAATATAACCGTTGGATCAACATAATCGATCTAACAGTGAGATTGATTGGTAGTCACTTGGTAGTAACACAGCTTGATTGTCACAATATTCTTCCCCAAAAATTATAATGAAAAAGACTATTTAACCTTGAAATAAATTATAATTATAAAAATACTTTGATTTCCGTCTCAAAACAACATAGTTTTGAGCGCAATGTAGATAAGTTATCAACATTGACGGTAGAAAAAGCACACCCAAATTAATATATGGGAAAAAAGTTTGGATATAATTTGGTGTCATTTTAGATCTTACCTGTTAATTTTCGTAAATCAACGGGTAGGATTTATTGAATTTTATTGTGAATTATTAATTAATTAATAAATTTGATTCAATAAATCATAACCGTTGATTGACGGAAATAAAAGGTTAGAATCTAAAATAACATAAAATTATATTCTTTAAAAGTATAAATATTTTTTTCTTAATATATAAGTAGCATTTTTTAAGATTATATTAAGGGGGATATTATTTCTCCTATAAAATAATATCATTTAACATGAGAAACAATATTTACTTATATTAATAAAGTAGAATTAATTAGTGTGGGAGAGCAAAGTAGCAATAGCCTATGTTGTATCGACATTTTAAAAAATATGAAATGTCGTGTTTGTTTCCTGATACTCTGTCACACTCTGACATTCATAGTTATCAGTATCGTACGATACACAATACAATTCATATGATACGGTACGATTCATAAGTATAACGATACATATCGTGGGATGTATCGAAAAATGATTTGTATCATGACGATACGATATTCTCTCGTGCGATACAATACGTATCATATATCATATGTTAGGAAAATTAAATTAAAATTTATAATTTTTAATAGAAAAAATAAAGATTTGATTTATGATTTAAAATAATAAAAATTAAAAATAGATACAGACTAAATCTTACCAAAATATATAAGAGATTTTTAATTTGAAAATATAGTAGTAGATATTTATATCTTATGTTTCTTTGCAAAATTTATGAGTATTATAAGTTTTAGTTTCATTTTTTTGTTAAAGTATTGAATATTAAATGTAATATATTCTGCATAAATTAAAAATATTAATTAATATCAAAATATATCTTAATGAGTCAAAATCTAATAATTTTTAGAATTAACGTGTCAAAATGTAATATTAGGTCATGGATCGATATCGATGCAAAATTTAACTTTTAATTTAGGAAAGTGATTCGAAGCATATTTGGTTTATTTATTTATTTTTAAAAAAAAAAGAATAATTACTGTTTTAGATTTTATTACAAAATTGTATACAAAACTTTTTAAAATTCTAAAATAAATTAATCTAAATACACAATTAATAGGCTTAACAATAAATATGTTTGTTATTGTATATCTCATTGCGGGTCATACTACCAACATTAGTAAGAAACTTATGTGATGAGAATAGTGTGCATAAGTGTATATTAGCAGTGTTTAAAAACCCGGCCCGGTCGTCGACCCGGCCGAGGCCAGGGGTCATAGAGTCACGGGTTCAATTGGAGGTTACAGAGTCATTATGCTGACCTGGTTTTATATATTAAAAAATATAAATATATATATCATATATAAATATATTAAAAAACAAACCACTAATTATCAAAGATTCAAAATATACTTAACATAATTCTCTAATTACAACCACAAGTCAATATTACACAACCTAATTAAAGTATCAAGATATCAAAGTACAAAACTCATATTCCAATGGGATCAATACGCTGACCCGATTTTGTCTCTTTGGAGAAGGTCCCTGACAAAGGAAAATTTAAAAGAAGTAAGAATGAGTTTTTGTTTTCCATCGACGACAGTACGGATTTCATTTGAATAGATATAATTCTTACCTTTTCTAGAAGATTCACATTTACGAGGTGAAGATTGAAGACATATAGGTCGCTGGGAGAGAAGAGAACGATTAGATTTAGGTTTGCAAGCATTTTTATTTTATTTTTTTAATAAAACGAAGTTGCTTCATGGATTTTTTTTTTTAAAAAAAAAACATGCAATAACCCCATCTGACTTGAAGTCGGAGAAACTTGGCCGAGTTTTAAGGGTCAGAGGAGTCGATGTGTATATAGGGTCCAACTTGTGATCTCAACCCTCAGAAGAGAAGGGTCAGGATTGACCCGAGTCAATTCGGAAGGTGGGGTGAGGTTTTAAATTAGTGGAGGCTATCCCTACAAAGAAATACCGTGAACAAAAAAGTATTGAGATTTGCAAAAAGGCATTACTTGAAACTTGTTCAAAGAGGATTGACTCATTTATTTTTGAATTGCTAAAATATTTAAATTATTATTTGTAAATCATGATTCGAACTTACAAAAAAGTCTCTCTTTTTTTTCAATTTTATTTAAAATATGATTTGATCAAATATTCGCATATAAACTTCAGTTTGCAAGCTTTAAAATGAGATTTGAAGTATGTAAATTATAATTTGAAATATTAAAATTAAAAATTTACTTTTTTCAAAAAAAAATATATATATATCAAGAATTGGTTCAAATGACAATATGAATTTCAAGATGGACAAACAATTAAAGGAACAAAATTCGAATTCTAAAAAAAAAAAATTTACTTGACTCACCTAAAAAAATAATTAAAATTAAGAAATAAAAAAATTATTTTTTTGCATGACTTTGGAGTGAATACCTCCTCTTTCAATACTTTTCAAGCTAAATAAAATATCTTCAAACTTGGTGTACTAAAAGCATCCTTTCAAGCAAGTCTTAACCACAATATCTTGACAACCCCATGAGCATGGCCATCATAAAGAGTCGTTCCCATGTATGTTCAAGGCACCCAACCAGTCACCTGCTTTCCGCAAAACCAAAATACGCTCTTTCCAAGGGAGAAGACGAGAAACAATAAGATGAGTTGGACAAAGTATATAAATAGAATCTCCTCTTACGGCAACAGAGTTATGATAAGCTTTCTCAGGGTTTCCAAATATATTGATGAAGTGAGTATGATAAGAAACTAGATCATCTCCTCCAATACCATCATCTACAGCAAAACTAGTTTGGTGAATCACAGTTCCATCCTTGGCAAATAAACACAGTTGTCCAGTTGAAGTGAGAACTGCCAGCATCTGAGCAAGAACAAAATCCTTTTAACTACCCTTATTACTAAGAAGCAAAGAGATGCAACAAGAAGACTAAAAGGCAAGGAAACAGGACACAAAAAAAGTGGCAAAAACTTCTAGCTAATCTAGGTAGACAGAAGATGATTTCATACCTGATCATCCAACCATGCCAGACCTATAGCTTCACTGTCAAGAGACCATTTTCCATATACTTTTAATTCTGACTTGACCAACTTTGCAACCTGAACTTTCCGTTCCCAAGCAATTGCAAGCAATGAAATTCTTTCAACAGCTTCTGCAGACATATTTTCTACAAGAGAGCAAGCATTATTTAGAAAGAAGTAAACATGAATTATAAGAAAATGAAACCATACCATTAGAACTACATGTTGGTGCCATGTGTTTCCATGCAGTATAAGGCATGGAACCCTCCCGAATTCCATCTGGCCTAGAGAGTCGAGCATAGACTTCCGGTTTAGGACTCAGCCGCACCTATAACAAAGATTTAGCATCTTCAATAAACAATGCATAAGAAATCTCCACAAAGCTAAAGAAAAAATTATAGGATAAAAGGTACATGGAACCAGCACAAATATCTGAGTTTCATACCACAGAAGCAATTTGATGGGTGACAAATACAACCACACCTTCTTCAACCGAAGAAGAGCCTTCATTGAAGAGTTTCCAACCTGCATCTCCCCCAGGCGAAGTGCTTCCACTGAATTCATCCAAAAGGAGTGGTGAAGCTGATAGCACCAAGCCCGTTCTTTGCCCATCAAGAAGACACTAGGAAATTAATACCAAGTTCAACAAAAAAGAGGAACATGAGATAATTGGATATTGATGATTGAATTAACTCACAAGTCCCCTCCATAAAACAATGCTGAACTAATCTTTTGCACATTAATGCAAAATATGACATACCTGAGTTTTGATGGAGAATAGATTTATATTAAGCAGAGGGACCACTGAGATACTGTGTAAGAGAACCAGACCCTTACTATCACCAGTGATTGCTTTAAATTGACGAGTATTCTGAGGATCCTGGCCTAGAAACAATGTATGTACAACTGGTGCTGTATGCTCTCCACTAATAACTTTTTCCACTGCACCTTTCTGTACATCCCAAAGAGTAACATGACCATCACCATAACCAGCTAAAAGAAAGTCTCCTTGCTGATTGAAAGACATGGATGTCACCGGAGCATGTAGCCGATCACCAGCAAGCATCGACATCTAACAAGTAAACGGAATACATTGATAAATGAAGCTACATCTGATCCCAAAACTCAATCAAACAAATGCTTGAACTTATGAGGATCAACATTAACAGTTTATATACGTGGACAAGTGATAATTCAAACAGCATCTTTATTCTACACTACTAATAATGTGTTCAGGGATTTTGAACAATTTTTTATGAGATCGTAATAGATATATGACAAAAATAATGACAAAAAAAACATTTTTTAATGGCAGAGATAGTAGCAATGACACAGAGATGCAGATAAACTAAAAAATCCTTAAAACATTTCTGTTACACATTTACATTTAGGACAAATTTGACATTTTGCCTAACAACAATATTGCCGTGATTTGGCTGCAAATGTGATCGCAATGGCCCCTATTGCGTTCTGGTGCGACGCAGAGCGGTTTCTTGCGGCTAGGCAGCGGGACACTACTGCGGCACAATTAATTACTATGAAAAATTGCATTGCCATATTGACTTTCTCATTCGTTATGTCAAGCAACTCAGATACTTTGGTTAAAAACTGATGGAATCTACTTCCAAGCAAATCTAATAGAATAATTTACGAAGTTAAAAGAAGGAAGTAAACATAATATTAAATTAATTGTGATTATTTTTCATATCACACTAGACATATTTACAGACAAAGATGAAACATTGAACACTGAACTTGAGCTAGTTTAAAAAGTTTGATTGAATCAGGAAACAACCTTTCCATCAGTGTTGTCTGCATGATAAATAGAATATTTACTGGGAGCTACAACAATGAGTCCTTTCGCCATTCCTACAGCAATGTAATTAGCATGAACTGCCAAGGCTTGAGGTGAACCATGTTCGCGCCTGAATGTTTGGGATGAAATGGCCCTTGTGACAACATTATCAGCATCAACATCAAAATATCCCAATGTTGTGGACCCTCTACGAACGCCCTCGAGCTTCATTGGCTGGGCAGCAGCACCCTCTTCCGAATGCAAACGAGTTGAAGCATGCTTCTTCTCCAGTTCTTTGGCCAATTCAAGAGGCTTCCTTGAAGCACCCTTTTCCGCATGCAGCGTCGGGACAGATCTAGAAGCGGCGACGGCGGATGACCGCCGCCGTCGCCGCCGCCGTCGGTGGAGGTCGAGCTCCATTGAAGTTGATTCACCAAGCTAGGATGTGTTCGAAGAAATAAATTTATGAACCGATTTGAAAATTTAGGTTAATAAAATTAATTAGTGTGGTAGGGCAAAATAGCAATAGCTTCTCGTCAAATTAGGGATGTAAATAGGTGTTAAAATTCAATACCATGGATAAACATCTGCTTTCGTTCGTATTTCTTCCTCTTGAATGAGGTTTATTTATACAAGTGGATATAACAGAAAAATCGTAACAATAGGAAACAGCCTAACAATTTAATCCTATTTACACAAAATGCTAACAAGTAGATTACATTCAAACAACTTGGTTCTTATCCAAAGCAACAATATTTTAAATTCAAAAACTTTATTTCAACAGTCTCTCTCTCAAGTTGATACATGCATGAATATGTATCGTGCCGAACTTGCGAATCATTTCTTCAAAGGCTTTTTCTAGTTTTGCTCAATACATTCGCAAGTTGATCTTCAGACCATACATAAGGAGTTTGAACAATTTTTTTCATCTAGCTTTTCTTTTCTTTAACGAAGTGCCTATCTACTTCAACATATTTTATTTTATTATGTTGAACTGGATTATCAGCAATCTCTATTGCAGCTTTATTATCACAATCATAAAAATAAATATAATTTTTATGTTGCATTTTCATGTCTCATGTACATATACATAAAAGTGAGTGAATTTTTTTTAGTGAGTCTTATCCATTTTTGTATGTACATATATTTATCTCATCTAACGTAAAAAATTATATTCCCTTTGAAAATTAACAGAAAAGGTTCATTCATTACGTACTTACTAACACAACAAATCTTGCAGGACACAAAATGATTTAGCCCATAAATTCATTCTGAAATAAAGAGCCTCCATATGTTTAAGTTTGTTACGGATTGCACAATGTTTCATTAACCAATCAATGCCAATAATGATCTTCAGATTGATCATGGGTAAACCAATTAGGTCCACCGAGTATTCTCGACCATCCAATTAAAACATAACATCACGATGCACAAATGAAATATCACACTTCTCCCCTGTAGCTATAGTAATAGAAAAAACTCCTAACCCCTTTGAAGAATCTTGACAGCCATCCGCTAAATATTTTATCTTAGGAATTTAAAATTCTTATGTCACATAAGAAATTAAACTCGTGCAGCTGATCCAGAGAATTATGAGGCTTGCCATCAATTTTTTCTTTTTTTAAAAAAAATGTTGCACGCTGATCAATACCTCAATAACAGAAGAATACACTTATGCAGTCATATGAGAAATGTATTCCTCTTTATCTTATATCTATATGTTATAATTATTGAGTTAATGTCTCTCCTTTTATACGAGAGATCAAAATATTTCTATACACACATTCAGACATGGGTCTCATTACAAATTTTTTCTCTCATTTTGTTCTTTTTTCTCTCTCTTTATTTATTCTCTCAGTAGAAAATTATCTTTATTTCATGTAAAATAAGAAAAGTATTACCCTATAACTATTACTAACATTGAGGTTGAAGTATGTGCATACCCACTTTATCCCCCCCCAATGTCTCTCCTTTTATACGAGAGATCAAAACATTCCTATACACACATTCAGACATGGGTCTCATTACAAACTTTTTCTCTCATTTTGTTCTTTTTTTTCTCTCTTTATTTATTCTCTCCGTAGAAAATTATCTTTATTTCAAATAAGAAAAGTATTATCCTATAACTATTACTAACATTGAGGTTGAAGTATATGCATACCCACTTTACCCCCACCCCCAATTTACATGGAGAGCATCATGTCCCCACCATCATCAGATCATTTCATAGAAGTTTCAAGCACAACCACACTTTATGATCATACAAATATGTTCAAGTTTATTATTCATGTGTTCCATTTATTAAAGTAAAAATCATACAATATTTGGATATCCACTCATCCTTATTCATCTTTCTCTATATATATAGGGTTTTATTAATCTTATGTGAAATGAGATAAGTTATCTCATGTCATATAGATAAATTTGTGGGCTCCACCACTTGAAAAAAAAAAAAGATGACACAATTATCGAAGAATGTGTAGGAGAAAAATTTATCACATGTAGCATAAGAGTAGTTTTTTTCCATATATATATATAAATATATATATATATATATATATATATATATTACCATTTACACTCTTTCATGTATTTATTTGAGCATCCGCACGTGCATCATCTCTCTATGGAGCTACCTTCAACCAGTATCAAATCCACATGAATATAAGTCACTATAATTGGTCTCAGTGATAAGGGATTTGAATAAGTTGTATTATATTGTGTTTTCAATTCATACTTATATCAATAAAAAAAAATCCACATGAATAGAAACTCACAACTTGTTCAATAAACATATGTGAATAATGTAAGATATTATTAATGATGAAACCAAAGAATAAAAAAAAACGTTTTATTCTTTAAGGCCTTAGACTACACGAGGGCATATTCCATTTAAGAATAGGCAGCAACCAGGTCCCACAAAGCTTCTGAAATTTCTAAAATGTTGTAAGCCTCTAATAATGTTTGAGGTGTCTAAGCCATGCAGGACACAAGAATCATTCTATGGTTGCCACGTGGAAGGTAAAAGCAAGTCACTTTACGAACAGTACTGCACTACAAATTCTGCAGCCTCATGTGCAAGTTGCAACCTTTAAGAAACAAGTACAAATAATTCTTCGAGTCAATCCTTGACCCTTCTGGGTGCCTTAACCATCTCGCTCTGAAAATCTCTATGTGCTTCACTGACTGGTAAGTTAGTTCCAATTCCAAATTTCAAGTCCTTAAATTTTTTATTTTTTTTAATTTTCTAAAGTTTTTTAATGTGCCATTTGGTCATTCCACTTAACCCAGTTTTATGAGAATCAAGGGTTAAGTAGCTAGTTAGTAGTGAGTCCAATTCTCATGGAATCTTTGTTCTTTCAGACTAAGTTTCAAAGATGGCAACAGTGACTGCTTCATTTAACTTAGTCTCCAGAGGTTCTCATGTCTCATATGAGTCCAAAGCAGCACCAATGGGACTTGGATCTCTAAAGCAGACAAATACTCATAAAGGATTAAGAGTTTTGAACCCAGTGGATGAGCTACTAAACAGAACCCCAATTAAAATCAATGCAGCACAAGCTAGGAGGAAGGGACTGGGACTTCAAAGCAAGAATGTTAGGCCTGCAGGTATTGTTATATGTGGCATGAATTTGATCTTTGTAGGAACTGAGGTTGGTCCATGGAGCAAAACTGGTGGGTTAGGAGATGTTCTTGGAGGTCTTCCACCAGCATTGGCTGTAAGCTTTACTGTTTATGTTTTCTCTTTTATCCTAAATTAGCTATGTACTGATTTTGCATATTTGGGGTTCAGTGATAGCAAGAGTCCCTCTAATTAATCCTTGTTTAGGCTATTGGACATCGAGTTATGACCATATCTCCACGTTATGACCAGTACAAAGATGCATGGGATACAAGTGTTACAGTTGAGGTATATCCTTGACAATATAGAGAAATCAGGTTTTCATTTTCATCTTCATAGAAGAGGTTTTCACTCGATTGTGTTCTACTGTAGTTAAATGTAATATAATGTGATTTTTATAGGTGAAATTAGGAGATAGAACAGAAAAAGTTAGCTACTTCCATTGCTATAAAAGAGGAGTTGATCGAGTCTTTGTGGATCATCCTATGTTTCTTGAAAAGGTTGGAATAGTTCTTTAATCTTTTCAGATATACACTAACTGTTTTGCTTTCAGATACTTATTAATGATTGAATTTCAAGGTCTGGGGGAAAAGTGGAACCAAACTTTATGGACCTACTGCAGGAGAGGATTACCAAGACAACCAACTACGTTTTAGCCTTTTCTGCCAGGTTCTATATTCATATCCTTTTGGTTGCAAAAGTTCTGTTCATTTATATTGACAAGAAATTTTCTCTTTGCAAAATATTTGTTAGTAATAGGCAGTTGTGCTTGCAACAAAGCTACCTGCATTTGAATTATATGATGGATAACTCTTTTATAATAACTCATCTCCATCTAATGTGTCTCTATAGTCATGTCTGTTCACATTTCTTAATTCAGTAGTCCTACTTTTCCCTTATCTTTTCTGTTTGAATCAATCTTACAGGCAGCTTTGGAAGCACCAAGGGTTCTGAATCTTAAGTCCAGTGAATATTTCTCTGGACCATATGGTATGGACTAAGGTCATAAATGAAGTTCTTCAAAGCTGACAGCAGAAGATCTTTTAGCATTGATGTTTTAGTTTTTGCTATGCAGGTGAAGATGTCATTTTCGTCGCCAATGATTGGCACACTGCTCTTCTTCCCTGCTACTTGAAAGCTTTGTACCAGTCAATAGGCATCTATAAGAATGCCCGAGTAGGTCTAAATCACACTGGATTATTATACTGTAGTACTGTTATATATTTAGCTATTTACCTAACTTAGCAGTTATATTCAACTCACAAGTTCCTCAAATGTTATTTTCTGGTTGCTGCCATTACAAGGTTGTTTTTTGTATCCACAACATTGCTTACCAAGGCAGATTTGCATTCGCTGACTTCTCACTTCTCAATCTCCCTGACCAATTTAAAAGCTCCTTTGACTTCATTGACGGGTATGTTTTTCATTAGTTGTGAATTGTGAGTTTGTGACCATTATATACAATTACAAAATTTTAACTACTCTATGTTGTTCTAATCATGCAGGCATGTTAAACCAGTGATGGGAAGGAAAACCAATTGGATGAAAGCTGGAATTTTAGAATCACACCTGGTGCTAACTGTTAGTCCATACTATGCTCAAGAACTAGTTTCAGGCCCAGATAAAGGAGTGGAGTTGGACAACATCATTCGCAGAACTGGTATTACTGGAATTGTGAATGGCATGGATGTTCAGGAGTGGAATCCATCCACTGACAAATATATAACTGTCAAATATGATGCTTCAACAGTAAGAATAGTTTTATTTTTTTGTTTTTTTTTAAGAGTTACAGTACAGTATCTCTAAATTGTGTCATGGCTCATAAGAAAAATACCTATATAACAATTTTTTAATAAATTGCCCTACTTAGGTATTGGAAGGAAAGGCTCTTCTGAAAGAAGCCCTCCAAGCAGAAGTTGGATTGCCGGTTGACAGAAATATTCCTCTCATTGGTTTCATTGGTAGGCTTGAAGAGCAAAAAGGTTCTGATATTCTTGTAGCAGCCATTCCTCAATTTATCAAGGAGAATGTTCAGATAGTAGCCCTAGTAAGTATAAAAAAAAAAGAAACAATTTGTTGAGCCCTTCTTACATCATAAAAGGAACAAGAAATCTCACTTAAAAGATGTTGTGCTATTTTTCTTAGGGAACAGGAAAAAAACAAATGGAAAAGCAGCTTCAGCAACTTGAAGTATCATATCCTGACAAAGCCAGAGGAGTGGCAAAATTCAATGTTCCCCTAGCCCACATGATAATTGCTGGAGCTGATTTTATATTGATTCCTAGCAGATTTGAGCCTTGTGGTCTCATTCAGTTACAAGCTATGCGCTATGGAACTGTATAATTCCTGCTTTGCACAATCCTCCATTCCTTGTGGTTTTCTGCCATAAGATTTCCTCTAATCATTAAGCTTACATTTTCTTCAACTTCTATTCTTCTCTGCGCTAGGTACCTATTGTTGCCTCAACAGGTGGATTAGTTGACACAGTCAAAGAAGGTTTCACTGGATTTCAGATGGGTCCCTTCAATGTTGAAGTAATACCTGCTATCAGTTCATAATCTAAAAGTGTGTCCATAGTAGCTTAAGTACTAAGCACTAACCATTTTTTTTTTTTTTAAATTTTTTTTGCTTTAGTGTGAAGCTGTGGATCCTGCTGATGTGGATGCTCTAGCAAAGAATGTCATAAGGGCCCTTGCAGTATATGGAACCCAAGCTTTTACAGAAATGATTAAGAATTGCATGGCTCAAGATCTTTCATGGAAGGTGAGTGAGGGCAGAACCTAAGTAATATACCAAATACCAAAAACGTAAACTAATATTGTCAATTATAAAGAACTAATTCAAACCAAAAGTTGCTTAAACTGTTAGGCTAAGGCACAATAATGGTTTTATATTTTATATTATATTTATTTAGCATGCTCTCTTACACAATAATTCATTGATCTTGAAGGGCGGATAATACTAAGATCACTTACATGTGCTAAGAAACTCTATAATATTTAATTATTTATTAATAGAATGTAGGCGGTGAGTATTAAACTCTAAACTACTTGGTTATAGAAACTTTGATACGTGTAGAGAACCAATTGCTACCAATCTATAGTGAATCTCTGTCCTCAACCCCCATTAACTGAATTTTATTTTGGGATTAGGGACCTGCTAAGAAATGGGAGGAAGTACTGCTAAGCTTGGGAGTTCCTGGCAGTGAACCTGGAATTGATGGAGAAGAAATTGCTCCACAGGCAAAGGAAAATGTGGCAACTCCATAATAAGAACAAAGATGTGAGGGAAGCTCCAGCTAGTGTGAGTCTGAGATTATAGAATCAGGGTAGTCCACCCCAGTAAAGGAGTTATGGCCTACACTACAGTGGCGTATTTGGGAGTGCATGTTTTCAAGATTAGCATAAAGCATTTCTTGGAAGTGTAGATACCACACAGGCTATGCTGGACGAGCAAGGAGTTGTAACTTGTGTATCTAATTTGGACAGCTTAATTTTTTTTTTTATTTTTCCCTTAGAATCATAGATTATGGTTCATTATTGCATTACTACCTTTAAGCTTCTTTTATGTACCTTTAACCTTGTATGCTCTGGATAATCCTTATGTCTGTATTCTAGCCAACTGGACAAAAATTCCAAGAAAATCGGCTTCAATTTAATCGGTTAGAAAAGACAAATATAATCTCACCTTAATAGTGCATAGAATTTAGCTGTGGAGACTGGAATTTTCCCTTGTTGGTTTTTGTAAAGAGTTTAAATTTGATAAACCTACATATAACACATTATCAAAAGAGAATTGGACATAGTACATAATTAAATACATAGTAAGAAGAAATTACATTGACAATATATTAAAATTAAATTCTTTTTTTTTTTTTTGTAAATAGCATTCAAGTGATTTAACAGTGGAAAGAGAAGTTATCAGAGCCTTGGAGGTAAAACAAAATTAGATTTTCATGTGTTTTAACACTGAAACAAATCTTTATACTTTACACTTCAAATTATTCTAAATAAAAAACAAGCTCAAGATTTCAAAATCAATTCTTCAAGTTTCAAAGAAATTCTTTTGCAATCTAAACAAGGTAGTTGCTCTATCCTGGATGATAGGATATACTATTAATCAATCATTAAATTGAAGTCACCACTTATTTGCGTGTAGTTAACCACAAACCCATTAATTATTTGTTCAGGTTTTATATAGTAACGGGCCTTCATATAAAAAGGCCTATTTTAAACGAGAGCCCTTTCTGAACTTGAGAAAAACCACAGTTAACCTTGGTGCAAAATATTTCATTTTTCTAACAAAATTTTTATTTTAGCCTGAAATTCACTTATTTATTAAACGTTGAATTTAATAACACATTTATCAAATCTCAAGATTAATTTTAAATCCAAGTTAATTGAATATTTTTAATTTCAATCAATTAGTATTTGATTATCTAGACTAATTTATACAAGCTTTTAGATTAGTTTAAGTTTATGTCTGGTTAAATATAAGGCATATATGTTGAGAATAAAAAATTTACGAAGATATTTCTTGTTATCCAATCTCAATTAATTAATATAGTTAAAATTATACTCGAACAAGTTTGTTGAAATGGTACTTTTTTTTTTTTTTGAAACAAAAGATGACTATTATATATAAGAGTAAATATCCTTTTTTCCTCAAGAAAAAACACGGGGCCCAATTTAATCCCTGAAAAAAAAAAAAGTCGACTTGCGGTCTCGTGAAATTCCAATTCTTTAAATTTGTGGTCCCTCTAAAATTCAGATAAGACCCTTTTTAGTCCCTAAAAAATGACTAATATGAGATTTTTTTCCTAAGGGAGTAAAATGGGTTCCGTAATTTTTTTTTGTTGAGGACAAAAAAAAGTATTTACTCTATATATAATTGTTTTGGCAAGAAAAATGACTATTATATAAGGGTTTTATAAGAGTTATGTTGTAGGAAAAGTGATTATGTAATGTTATAGAGATTCGTTTTGCGTGCCGTAACTTTTTTTTTCTTCTTTTTTCTTCAAAAAGTGTGGGCCCCACAAAATGTTGTGTGTAAGAAAGTTTGTTGTGTCACGTTAAATGACAAATGCAAACTCCATTATATAATCGCTTCTTTGAATTGTAGAAAATGGAAACAATAGAAATGGAAGAATATGCCTCTCGTATAAAAATGCTAGATGGGTTCTTTAGACATTCCTTTTCTTTCTCATGAATGTGTGGTTCTATAAATTGAGCTGTCAAAGCTCAAGTTTTTCTTCCAAAATGACCAATCACTCTAGGGTTCAAAGGTTTTAAATCTATCTTTTGAACCCATTTACTGCTCATATAAACAAGAGAATTATGTCATTGAATGCTACTTACACCCAAGACATTAATGTTTAGTAAAATTAGCCTACAAGGAAGAGTATAAGGTTGCAATATTTTGAACATGAATTGAGGATTGATCAAGGTCGGTTAGTGGCACAAGCTTTATATAATGAACATCATTTACCCATTCCTTGAATAAACAATTCTGTCTTGAGTTATTGGTTTACTTCTCTTTGATATGTAGCTGATAATCTTTGCTTCTTTTATGTATCAGTACTTAATATGCTTCTTGTACACTGTCATCCCTTCTTGGTTCTTGACCCTTTTCATCATCTTTCAATATATTTAGCCTTACAAGACAGCATTTCTTTGTCTCTGTAGAGATTAAGTTGAGGAATTTTGTTCAGAAGTTGTTCCAGCCGCTTCTGAAGCACCTTCACCTGTTGATGTGGCCTCTGTTGTTGTTGTAGTTGCTGTTGTTGTAACTGTTACGTTATTTTATACACTTGTTTAAATTGGATAGTTAAAAGAGACAATATCAATGAAAAAAAAAGGTAACATTTTGCACTAGACTTATCACCTGCACTAGTAGTTGGCATTGCCATTGAAGAAGCATATGTCATGATCCCAGCTGCACCATATTGCCTAGGGAGAAATGGAAGCTGCAGTATTTGGGGATATTGAACTCCAAAACCATGTAATTGGTGGTTATTGTACCCATACTGGGCACTGAAAGGGTAAATATTATGAATCAATCCCACTGGCCCAGATGCTCCATTGGATGCATAGTAAGTTGAGAATTGTTGACCTCCATACACACCATAACAATTCTGCCACAAGGCTCACACAAAAGTATACCAAAGTTAATGAAGAACATGCAATGCAAGTATAATTCATTTATGTGATCATTTTTAAGCATTTATCACATAAACACATACCATGGGGTACATTGTTTCTTGCGATTGTCCAGTATATCTGCTAACATAAGGAAACAAGCAGAATCAAAGATAAAGAAAACATGAAGAATGCAGAAAATTGACATGCAAATAGGAAAATGACCAAAACCACACATGGTACTTTCATGTTATACCCATACGTTGAATAAGGAAATGTGTATTGTCCAGTGGTTTGATGGACAAATGTAGAAGAAAGGCCATGATATGCAGGTGAAGCCAACATGCTAGGGGCTGGTCTAAACCGTCCTGCACCCACAATGTGAAGGTTGCATTTCATTTCATTTTTTAATCTTACATCATATATAATAAACTTTTGTTTAATATATCATTGATAACCAATTAGTACTAAAAGAGGGATATAACTTCTTGCTTAGTATGAAATAAATAGGAAAAACAAATTGAAAAGAAAGAGGACATTGTAATAGAATTAAGATGAAAAATAAAAAACAATAAAGAAATAACAAAGGTAAATGAAGGAGATGAAAGGATTAAGACCATGTTGAGGAGTTTGGGGGCGATTCTTCTTTGCACCAATAGATGCAATATTACAGTTTGCCCTCCTTCCATCAATTATTGGAGAGGGGTTCTGACATGCTTTTTTTGCTGCTTCTGGATCCTTGAATGTGACCTTGGAAAAAAGCAAAACCAAAGATTCATTGGTTTAAGATCACATGTCAAATGAAAATGGACAAGCAAATATACCAATGCAGAGACTGAGAATCACAAAAAAAGACAAATAAGCTTACAAAACCATAACCCTTTGATCTCCCAGTGTTCTTGTCTGTGATAACAACAGCCTCTAAAATCTCTCCAAACTGCTCAAAATACCTTCTCATTGTGTCCCTTTGAGTCTCCCAAGCTAACCCTCCAACAAAGATTTTGGTAGAAGTTGTATCATGATATTGCCTCGAATTACTGTTACCACCCACCATCTGGAATTGCTTTTCTGGAGATATTATGTTGTATGAGATACCAAAAAGAAAAAATAGAAAAGAGAAACAACCCCAAAATTCCAAAAAAAATAAAAAAAAATAAAAAAATTGGATGACAAGGTGAAAAAAGAATGTTCTTTTTATGAAGATCACATCAAATCATCAATGAAAACATTCATAACTGACATTCTTAACATCCACAACAATACAACTCCTCAAATTGCTCAACATTGATATTCCTAACTATTAAAATCATTACTAGGGTGGAAAGGAAAAGGATGAAGAAAAAGGAAAAAGGAAAAAGAAAACGTCAATAGAAAATATGAATATAAGAAGAATCATTGTAACACACAGGACAGGACAGGACAAAAGAGAATATAACATTAAAAATGTTCAAAAAGACCAACCTTTTTTTTCCCACTATATCACCCCTTTCTATGGGCTATGTCATACATAGTAATATAACATTATAGGAGCATAACACATCTTCCACCTCGTATTCAACCTTCCTTTATGTCCACCTTTGTTCTGTTTAGGGTAGTTGTGGGGCTTATGGATATTGGGAACTTTCAAATAAAAGCCTTTTCTATAAAAATAAATAAATAAATAAACAATCTCCTTTATTAATGCTTTCTCTGTTTCTCTATACTTTTCTCTCCCTGTAAATTTCCTGCTCTGTATGTATGCATGCTTATCTGCGGTTGTGTTTCAACCTCTTCGTTCCTCGAGCTGCAATTCAATTCTATTAACTAAAAAAGGTACAGAAAATGGGGTAAGTCCTGCGACCTAAATTTCTAATTCCCCCCTTCCCCCCCTGAGAGGATAATGAAGAAGTAAACTAGAAGAAGTTTGAGATTACAATTTGGGCATCTTATTTATTTTTGTGGGTATATCAATTTATACCCATTATTCTGACCTTTTTCTAGATAATAATATCTTTTAATGAGATAGAATATTCTACTTACTTTTTTTTCAATGCCTATTCATATGTAATATCTGTAAATCGAAATCAAAATCGAAATCACAGGAGAAGAGAGAAAGAGTTAAGGTTCATTGAAATTATGATATAATGATATTAAAAATGAGTAGATAAAGTAGACATAAAAAAATTAGGAGAATGTTATACTTAGTACAATTTTAGTCTTATTACTTTTACTACCTGAATGGTTACCATTGGATTAACTTGAAATCAACGACAATTAATTTTTTTTCATTTTTTAACCGTTGATTCCAAATTGATCCAATGATAACCAATCGGGTAATAAGAATAGTAAGCCTAAAATAGTAGTAAGTATAATTGTTTCCAAAAAATTATCACAATATCATATTCCCATTTTAATACCCTCTTTCTTGTTTAAAAAAAAAAAAAGTAAAGTGAAACTTTTAATCTATATGTAACGAGGAAGGTTATATTTAAAACTTAATTTCATTTACAACCATATCTTAACTGTTGATTTCCGTCAATCAACAGTTATCATTTATTATGAATTAATAATAATTAATGAGTTTGATTTGCGAAAATAATAACCGTTGATTGGCGAAAATCAATGGTTAAGATATGATTATAAGAGGTTGTAAACGAAAATAGGTTGTAAGTATAACATTCCTCATATATATCACACGATATGATATTATGTCTAATTTTTTCCATACTTACTCTACCTACTCATTTCCAATATAATTATATCTTGAGGTGTTCATCAACTGATCCAAACTGCGGTGATCGAACCGAAAAATCGATAACAAGTTAACCGAAAATCGAAAAATCAAAAATCTAAAAAAAATCATAAAATTTAATTGGATTGGACCGGTTTACGATTTGATTGGTGAAAACCGATCCAATCTAAACCGATCCAATAATTTCCTAACCCTACCCACTACCTACTTGGGTCTTTCCTCAATTATAGCCTAAAAATCATATGGCAAAATTCTAAATTCAAGTCCCATTAACCCATTATGTTGGAGAAAGTGAGTTGTGCTTGATTTATGTATAAGATACATCATATATTTTTAGTACATGAGTTATTGTTGTACAACAGCTCCTATATAAGATGAAAATTTGAGTTACTCCGTATATAAGGCAACCACATTGTAAATTTTTGTTGTAGGTAAAAGATGGTAATTCAATTTTTTGTTGTACTATATTGAAAATTAGATTATCGTTTATTGACTTCTAGATTGCACAATAATCAGCATATAAACTTTACAAAGCCAATACATACAAAAGATATATTATTTGCACAATAATCATCATACAAATTTTAGGTTTTAAAAAAAATAGAAAACATATCCAATTCAAACCGAATAAAATTGGATTAGATTTGAAAAAAAAAATCAAAACAAATGGATGATTACATAATCAAATCGAAGGAATTTGATCAAATGATTTTTGCTTTCAAAACCAATCCAATCTAGACCGTGAATACTCCTAATTATATCATAATCTCAACTAATTTTCACTTTTTTCTTTTTTCTCTTGAGATTCTGATTTAATAATATTGGTAAAGAATAGGTAAAGTAAGCATGAAAAAAGATAGGCTTGATTTCTTATCCCATATATCATTTAAAAATTAAAATGTGTCCTTCAACTTTGGATTCCTCTAGTTACCGCAATCATTTTAGAATAAACAATAAAATATCGTAAAGAATATCAGTTTTAATTGATTTGGTTCTGTTTTGTTCGAAGTATGAAAAACATTGACTAAAAAGATAAATGGGGTGGACATAACACCCCAACACTTGGAGGGACAACTTTTTGTGTGTGGTTGAAAGGCAAAAGAGGAGGCAAGCGAGGTAAGCGGCATAAAAAGTTGGTCAAATTGGATGGACGGAACGAAACAGAAGAGATAGTATCGGTAATTATAGATTCCCTATAGTCCACACTATTCACCTTTAAATAGAAGCATTACTATTTAAGTGTGACTAAGCGACAACCAAATCATCAACATTCTTAACTCGATGTTGGACTTTCCAAGATATCGGTCAAACCACTAATTTTCTGTCCTTTTTTTTTAAGAAGAAAAATAGGTTAATTTTTTTTCCAATATTATGCTTTTTATCTCTCATAAACACAATTCAAATTTGCAATAATTGTACTATATAGTGTATTACCAAAAAAAAATTAAAAATTATTATTAATAAGAAATACAAAATAAAGATTTAATTTGTGATTTAAACTCAAAAATCAATTTGAAAAATCTGTATTAATAAAGAAAATAATTAAATAAATATTCTAGAATATTATATAAATTTGTATATATTTTATATAAATTTGTATATATTTTAATAATTAAATAAGTAACCTTGTACACTATTTTTTTTCAAACACTTGGTAGAGGCAAAAAAATTAAAATATTACTTTTTTAATAAATAATTACGAATAAGTTGCCGTTTTGAACCTAATTACGAATATATTGCACTCATTCACGCTCAATAATGGTACTATAACATTTCAAAATTCAAAATTCAAATAACCTCCAATAAGTTGATTGCATTTGTATTTGATAGTAGTTCATTGTGTTTTGTATTTAATAGAAGCTGATTGCGTTGTAATTTTATGAGTTGGTTACAGATTGTCGCTAATTCAAATAAATTTGCTAGTGGTTATTTGAATTTTGAATTTAATGTTAAAGGAGTTGATTACGTTTTGTATTTAATAGGAGCTGATTGCGTTTTGAATTTAATAGGAAATTTGGTGCCATCTTATTTATAGACGAGTTAATCCACTTTGGTGCCATCTTTATAGTATCATTGTTGTAAATTTGAATTGTGTTTGTGAGAGATAAAATATATCAAATGAGATGTCATTGTGTAGATCTCGAAAAGTTATGTGGAATCAAAAAAAGAATTACCTCATTCGGATACCCAAGTCAAAAGTTATGGCCTTATAAAATTTTACAGTTAAACTATTAATTTTTTGTGCCACGTGTCAACACCAGACGAGTCACGCCTAATTTAGGCGTGAATGCCTTGGGAGTCACGCCTAATTTGGGCATGAATAGTCATGCCTAATTTGGACATGGATGACTGCAATAAATTCTAAAATAATTTTCAAACTTCTACCAATTCGTAATTAATTATTAAAAGTGTAATATTTTAATATTTTTGCCAAATTTTTTCTGTACATCATATGTAGGGGTGAAACTGGGTCGGGCCGGTCTACAGGGGCCTACGGCTAAGCCTACGTCAGGCCAAACCTGACCTAGTATATTTCGTAAAATAGGCCGGGTTTGGGCCACTTTCACAAGGCCTAGCCTATAAGCCTACAGGTCAGCCTATATTGTACTATTTATTTTAAGAATAAATACCCTTTTTGGTCCTCAGCAAATTTCACGATGCCCGTTTTAGTCCCTAGCAAATAAAAAGCCCATCGTGGTCCCTAAGAAATTCAAAATGGACTTATTTAATTGAAATCGTGATCCCTCACAAATTCAAAAAAGACCCATATTAGTCCCTAAAAGGACTAAAATGGATCCATTTTGAATTTCTTAGGGACCACGATAGGCCTTTTTATTTGTTAGGAACTAAAGCGGGCATCGTGAAATTTGCTGAGGACCAAAAATGGTATTTACTCTTATTTTAAATAAAATAAAATAGAATAAGTATACCTTGAAGAAAAAATAAAATATATAAATTTAATCAATTGTAATTATTTATATCTTAGTTATATTCGATTATATTTTAATAAAATCTGACTTTATTTCTTACGTAGGGGGAACCAATATCTCAGCATGTTAGATTGTGTATATGAATATATTAAAAGGTTTTTGAGAGAGGTTATACTTACTACAAGCATCATGATGTGTTTGAGCATTTTGCTTTTGAAAGTGACTTAAATGCAGATTGTATGAGTTTTGTTGTGATTCATGATTCTGTTTGGACGTTGAAATTATGATTTTTGGCTTAGCAACAGAATTTGAGTATTTTGTAAAGTTGATTCATAATTTTGCTTAGAAGTTAAAAATTGACAGGCTAACGGGCTACGCCAGGCCATTTGGTTTTTTATAAACGGGTAAAGTCAGGCTAACAATTAGACTCGTACTAGGCTTGAGACAGACCAAATTAAAATTTTTTGGCATAAGCTTGGACTTTTCTGGGCAAAGCTTGGCCCAGCCTAGCCCACTTTCAACCCCTAATCATACGTAATCAAGTGGCCGTATATCTTTTTACCAATTTTTTTTATTCCCATTTAATTCGTATCTTTTTAAGTATTTTATATTAAATTCCAAATTTTTTATTTTTTTGAACAGATATACGGTGTATCTGATGCATCAAAAAAATGCTCAAAGAGGAGCGAGTGATTATTACCGCAATTGAGGTACTGTCAATCATTGAAACATACACATAAACAGTGGTGGATTCAAAACTTTTCACGACGGAGGATCAAAATAAAAATATTATAGGTTAAATGTTTTTCATTTTAAATAAAATAATTTTGTATCATTTTTAATGAAACTATGTCATTTTAGTGTGTGTTTTGTATTTTTTTTTACATTTTTCCTTTTTATAAACTTAGGAAAAAAAGAAAGTGGAGGTGAGAGAATGCAAAAACAAACCAAAACAACGTAGTTTTATAAAAAATGACATAAAGTTGTGTCATTTAAAATGACAAATACTTTTTCCAATATTATATAAGATTAATGTTTCTCATGTTGTAGGAGATAAAATTATCTCTACACACGCATAAAAGTGTGTGAGGCCATATAAAGAGAAGAGAGAAAAAAAGAAAACATGTGCTCCATGAGGTAGGATCCTTTGACACCGGTGTCAAATTTGAAGTTTGACACCTCATCTGAGAGTCGTTAGATCA